AGTTGAAAACAAAATCAGGCATGAAGTTGTTCATATGAGAAAGCATAATTCAATGCCAGTGAAGAGCGAACCCCCTGTACCTCATTTATACCCATCAAACAGGACAGCCCGGAGGCCATCAACCCCCAATAAATCCCAATTAAAACATTGCTGCCTGCCTCAAATTTAATTTTATAAGGGGGAGAGTTCACGTTGGATGTTATTACTTTCAGAAAATACAAGAGTATTCACACTTTCAAAGTCATGCCGGTCTGTGATTAACTTTGCAGGTATTCGCGCCTGTAAGATCCACAGGTCCCTAAAGGAATCAAGCGATACTGAGCTAGTCTGCAAAAACACTCTTGATTAAATAAATGTTTCATAAAACGATGATTGTGATGAGTATGCTAAAAAGAAAATATGCTTCTGCTCTTACATGACTTTTTTTTTTTTAAACAGATCAAATTATATGGTAGATTAGAGGAAGACGCTATGACCAAATTCACAGTATGAGCAATTTTATATTGCTGTAATAATATAGTTTCTTTGGATAAAGGGAAAACTATGGGGAAAATGGCCTCTATATTAAACTATTAAAATAATATTAAATGAAACCAAATCAAAAGTTAATTAGTAATTTCTTTTATTTGTAATTAAAAGAGCCTATTGTTAATAACATCACAGGTCTTGAAGTAAGTGGGAGTGAAGCTCTCATTAGCTTATATGCAGACGATGTGATAATGTATTTGAGCAACACTGGAAGATCTGTTTCCACCCTAGATTTAATCACTTTTTTTGGGAAGCTGTCTGGATCAACCTCTCAAAGAGCATTTTTGTTCCACTTTCCACCAACTTAAGAGACGGTTTTCTGGAAAACATTCAATTTAAAATAACTAGGGACTCCTTCACATATTTAGGTCTGACAATTCCTTTAGATCAAAAACACTTATTTAAGCTGAATTTTGCAGAGTTTTAAATATTTACCTGCAAAGTGTGTATATTCTGAGACAATATTGTTTGTTTGTTGTGTTCTGTTGTACTTAAAAAACCTTAAAATAAAAGTATTTAAAGAGCCCATTGTTGGCATAACAGCATCATAATGCTCAGCCATTATCAGATAATAGCATGCCTTTATTCTATAAGAAGTCTCATGTTTTTAATTATCAAAAATTTGCTGCACACTATATTTTTAAGTGGAGATGCACGAACTAGGACCCGCAGGCCAATGTTGCATTTTTTAGTTATATAAAAAGGATTGTTCATGTTTTTTTTTATTGTAAGATTTTCATTATAAAATAAACAAAAATGTATAATTACTAATACAATTTAAGTATTTTAAATGTAATAAATTATAGTATAAATTAAATTGTATAATAAATTATAGAATGAATTATAAATGAAGATGCAGTGGGTAGCACAATCGACACACAGCAAGAAAGTCACTGGTTCGAGCCCCAGCTGGCTCAGTTGGTATTTCTGTGTGGAGTTTGCATGTTCTCCACATGTTGGCGTTGGTTTCCTCCGGGTGCTCCGGTTCCCCTACAAGTCCAAAGACATGCGCTAAAGGTGAATTGGGTAAGCTAAATTGGCTGTAGTGTATGTGTGCAAACGAGAGTGTATGGGTGTTTGGGCACCCCTGCACTCAAGGAACCAAAAGCAAACAAAATGGTGAATTTATTCATTCATTCATTCATTTTCTTGTCAGCTTAGTCCCTTTATTAATCCGGGGTCACCACAGCGGAATGAACCGCCAGTGAATTTATTATTTTTTAAATATTCCCTGTGATGTTTTACAGATGAAGGATATTATTCAAAGAATATCATATTACAGGTTATGTCCTAATATCGTTATATAATAATATCCCTATAATTCTGGAGTCTTAAGTCTTTTAGTGGCTGAAACAAAAAGGTCAAAATTATTAGCAATATTATTGGTTACAGAACAAACCACTGTGGTCTAGTGACTTGCCTAATTATCTTAACTTGCCTAGTTAACCTAATTAATGAGTAAATTGCACTTCAAGCTGAAAACTAGTATTTTTCAAAATAACTAGCAAATTATTTTGTACTATCATCATGGCAAAGACAACAGAAATTTGTAGAAATTAGTTAAAAATATTATGTTTTTAAAATATTAATGTAAAAAAAGAACTTGGGAAATATTAGGAAGAATTAATTTTATCTCCACCTGTACATGATGCAATCACTGTGATACATGCATACGAAACACGGGCACAGTGTGCACACATATGGATCGTTTTTAAATGAGGTATGCAAGTATTTGTACAGTGCACTTCCATTATGCTGCTAGTTTCAGTTTTACTTTATATGTTTGGATGAGCCTGTCTAAAAAGTGGCTCCAATGCAAACAAATTTGTACACACTAAGCACGTTTTGTTTTTGATTGTTTGTGAGTAATATGTGTGAGTGAGCCTGTATGTAAGTTGCAACATGTTATCTTGTTTTTGTTTTTGTTGTTGTTGTTGTTGTTGTTGAGTGTTTCAAGATCTACCTATTCAGGGACTCCAGATGGAAAATAGTTTTTGCTAAAGCCTGGCACAAAACATTTCCTTTTTAAGGTCAATGTATTGTTGTGCATGTCCCTGTCAAATAAACAAATTTGAATTCAAATAATAATACTACTACTTGTTTAGGAGTTGATGTTTTTAATTTTGTTAACACTAAAAGGCAATATAACTTCAATGAACTGCAGTGCTTCCTACACATAGACTTTTACTTGGGCGGGCTACCTAGGTATATTAATGGTCGCCCAAGTATATTTAGTGACACTTTTTTTTTTAAACTATTATTATCATCCTTTTACCCTTTTTTGTGCTCAAAATAAGCGAGCGATTAGGTAGTGGAAAATCTTCTCTCTTTTACCCATGTCATACTGCTCGTTCTGTGTGTGCAAGACAGACCCACACCTTTTTGCGTCTCGCCGGGATTTCTACTAAAATTTGTATTTATTTATTTTATTTTTTTTATTATTATTTTACTTTAACCCATTGAAAAGGAAAAAAGTTCAAAACATAATAATAAAACAGTGTGAAAAAAACTAATTATGTTTTGTTTGTCACATATAGTTCACAATTTAAATGATGTGGGTAAGAGGTGTGTTTAATCCGACCACCACCGCAAGCATATTTTAAACCTGTTGGAAGCACTGAACTGCATTTCTCTTTTCTCAACAATGAAATTTCGACCCAATGTATAAACAGGGATTTTTATAAATTAAACAAGTATAGTATAAAGTTATTGTTAAGTACTTTAAAATGTGCATTTTTATTTTATATTTGATGTAATCTTAACCGAAACATGAAGAGAGGGTGTGGCAGTGTAGCCCCTCCCCTTTATATAAAACAGCAAATAGCATTTTGCCTCATCACCGCTCTGCCAGTGAGAGTGATTGAGCTCAACTGCATCAAATGAGATGCGTCTTGAAAGGGGCAGGCAAGTCAGATAATAGAGAGCGTTTGATTGGTCACGATATGATAAGAAACTGAAGTTTGAGGTGATGTGAATAAAACCTATCCTTTTAGGCAGAAGTGACAAACTACAAGCTCTACATGTTTATGTCAGTTATATATCTTCTGACTGCAAATTTTGTCACAGTTTTGGAGCTTATAGATATCCTAAAAACGAACAATCCCCTTATTAAGTGTGGCTTCCGGGTCCAAGCGCTCTTTCAAACTGTAAGCGGAGACTTGTATATATATACACACATATATATCCATGCTTGTTTCTTTCATGATCCCGTATCCATGTTTCTTACATGATCCAGTTTTACATGGTATAGCACATAATTCGATTAACGTCACCACGGTGCCCAAGTTTACTCTGGAGTTTCATGTAATTCGAGTGTTTCATTCTTAATTTGTCGATGTAACTGCAATTTGGCACTTTCACATTTATTCAAGAACATTTCATACATGCCCTCCATTACAAACGAGATATTAGATGCAACGAACTGCAGGAAGAGTGTCGTTTTAATGGAAATTTGATACCACACGCGGTATGGGACAAAAAAAATCTTCTGCATTTCAAGGTAGAAGGAGAGACATGGTAGGTGCAGAGAATAGCATCTAACATCCATGTGTGTATAGACGATCCTTTTACAAAATGCAGCACAAATCCCACAAGGCGATAATAGTTTAAGGTGTTTACATTCAGCGAGCAGCATTTACAGCAGGTCTTTCAGTCCATAATATTTTAGTGATATTAGCGTACTGTAAACTTAGTTACTAAATCATTTTGACTAGGGTATATCTTTAAAAACTGAAAGAGTACTGCTGACAGTACTAACTAACTTTGCCATCCGAATAAGCATAAACAAAGAACACTGATCACACACTTACCAAATCTGTAAAGACAGGACAATCAACACAAACTGGAACCGCGTCTTTTTCAAAAGGAGACGAGCAGCAAATTCAATTTTTAACATTTACAGATGCGAAAAGCTCAAGGATAAAACAAATGTTCCTTACAAACATATTTTTTGTCAAGTGTTAGCAAACCACTGTATTCAACATGTCCACACGTGATCTGTGCTCTCTGAACACTGTAACAGGTAAAAATGGTCTTCGAAGCTATCATGCATATTAATAAAGTCGCACATCATTCACAATAAAGCGCACTGATTAGTTCGAACCAAGTCTTTCTCTTGAATTAACGCTGAAAACTCAAAGATGCCACATTGCACCCATCGGTACAGACATTTAGTCTCCATGCTGGAATTTACACAAGGATCTCATGGTCGTGATGTAGCTTTAAAATTTCTTTTTAAACTAGAAAAATGGATTTGTTCGAAATAACATAAAAATAATGTGCTTGAACTTGTGAAATGTATGTGTCCCAATACTGTTTTTGGCATTGTGGAACACATATATGACCTGTCAACATCTCAAAAAAATGTGCTTTGGTGTTTTATAACCCTTTAACAAGCGGATACTGATACTAACATCTAAAAAACTGTTTTATTTTCATGGAACCTTTAAACTAGATATTGAGTCTGCGCTCACCCATAGCTTTGGTTTCCTCGCCCTTGGCGTTAAGGATGGAGAACTTGAACTTGGCTCGAACCTCACTCTTAGGACAGCTGACCAGGAGCAGATAGAGAGACAGATAATCTTTACTCTCCTCATCCAGCCCTTTAGGATTCACTCGTAAACACCTGTTCAAAACAAAGAGCCTCACATAAGCATTTATTCTGACAAAACCAAGTCAAAATATTAACGCAAATCTACATGTGCTCCTTTTTTTCACCATTTGAGTTTGTCATTGGCCCCCGAGGAGAAGGTGGAGCTTTTGATGACCTCTCCCATCTCCTCCCGACAGAAGCTGAAGTTGTTGATGGTCCACATATAGGAGAACTTAACCACTTTGATCTGGACAAACACACAAGATAACAGACAAGACACTTCATTCCTCCATTTATCCATCTACTTTTTCCCCCTCCCCCTTTCCTACATTAGATCCGCAAGTGTTGGCCAAGACTTCAAAAAAGCGACACATCAAAACCACCTTTTATCTTAATGCGCTCTGACAACAAACAGGATGGGGAGAACAAGGAATAAAAAGACCTCAAACAAAAACACTGAGGGAGGATGATGGCGAGATAAATGAAAGCATTAATGGAACATGTTTCACTAGTCGTGGGGATTCAGAACACACTGGAGGGCTCTGTGAAGTCACGCACACACTCATAACACAGGGAAGATAATGACCATTACATATTTTTAGAAAGACAGACCTACTACCTGGACAGGTCATTTTGGTTCATACATAGAAGTTTTTCAAACACATATTAAGCTTAGTTAATATATTTAACATGTATACATGCTTACAAGTTACACAATTCATCGCCTTAGAACTACAAGGTTCTATCTCCGTTCTAAATGATTTTGAGATATTGGGCTTCAAAATGTATGCATTCCATATTGCAAACAATGTGTTTGCTATATGCGGAACAATCCGGCGAAATGACAAAAAAAGCTGACGCTGATTGGTCCTCGTGTGTGCATTAAAAATGTTGATTGGCTCATAGAAAGAATCTTATAGAGCCAAGCTAGAATTCGACTTTGTAGATAAAATCTTTCTTTTTTTTTTATAAAAAAAGTCTTAAAATGTAAATAATTAAACAAAGGAAAAAAACATCACACAATGTTAATGAATTTGCATTTAAAAAGAATACGTGAATAACTCCATTTTGACAAAAATGTCAGATAGAACCTTATAATTCTAGGGTGACTATATGTAAGACTTCTTTAAAGAAATTAATATTATTTTTAATAAAGACTAATTAAATTGGTCACAACTGACAATGGGACACGTGTATATTAAATTATACTTCATATAAAGTGTTCTTTAAAAAAAGTATCAATAAAAAAAATAATAAATAAATAAAATTAATTAATTAATAAATATGAATTATGTGAACAAGATGATGTGACACTGAAGTCTGGAAATAACTCCTAACAAATATTATAGAAATAAAATGCATTGTAAAACATTTTAAAATACAAACTAGCTACTTTAAACAGTGTAAAATTTCAAAATATTTCTGTTTATACAGATTTTGGTCAAATAAATGCAGACCCAATTAACTTCAAAAACATAAAATATTCTCAATATCTGAAATACAATGTAACCATTGAACTACTGATATATTATAGTACATTATATTATTTAAATCATTATATTATATTGTATTATATAAATGATTATATTATATTATATTATATTATATTATATTATATTATATTATATTATATTATATTATATTATATTATATTATATTATATTATATTATATTATATTATAAATCATTAACTTGTATTAAATTATCACATGGATTTGAAATAAAGGGTATTATTTTTCTAAGGGTTATTTAAAAAATACCTTTAACTCTATTCCACCGAAAGTGGAAAGCAAGTATGTAGATCCCACATGGGCCTGTTGATTGGCCACTTATAGCATTAGACGAGGTTTAATGTGTGTCTGAGACAGCAGGGGTGCTTAGATTTGTACCTTGAGAATTAGTTTGCAGCACAGTTTCGTTCCAGTCTGTCTCTAACACACCTGCCCATAATCTTAGAGTAAACTCAATAAACTGATTGGCTGGTTCAGCTGTGTTTGATTAGACATGGAAATACAAGTATGTTTACGCATCAACTTCATAAAAAAAAAAGCTTTTTCTTTGGAGTACAAATGACAACATTATTCAAACATTCCCCTTTCCACAAATATTACTAACAGGCTAGTGGTTGACGATGAAAATGTTGTATTTTATTTAATGTTGCGTTTACCATGAGTATCATCAGTAGACACATTGCAACTACAACTATACCCACATTAAAATAGTACTAAATTGCAGTGGAAAAGCCAACGGAGCAGCGCAGTCATTGAAAAAGCCCCATTAGTCTGTTTTCCAAGGTTTTTTCTGGAGTGAAGAGTTTGGTTCCAAAATGCTGCCAAAATCAGTATTGTATTTGGTCTATATTGAACAGTTTTTAATTACACAAAATGCAATATCAGCCATGTCATTCTAACATGCTTTCTCCCTTATTTCCCCTAAACTGCGACAAAGCCTAGTCTCCGTTCTCTGCATAATGCGATAAATCCACTGAACCAATCACAGTGCACCATTCCACTCACTGCAAACAGTGAATACAACTGGCTTGTACCTGCTCCCACACAAATGCAGCAAACTTGTCACACTGACCCCCAGAGGATTTTTTGAAAACCGTTTAATTGTTTTACTCGAAGTCGACAAAACAGAGCAGAATCAAGCCATTTTGCTGCTCATAACTAAAAGTGCCTCCAAAGTTTGACAGTAGCAATCTGAATAGAGGAATAGGGAGGCCATGCACAAATACCAAAGATCACCCTAGTAATATAAACATGATATTATAAGATGAATCTCACTTCACACTCAGTGTGGATAATACTGTTTTTATTAATAACACTAATGTTTTTGTTAATACAACACATTTAACTAAATGAATGAGCCATTTAAACCTGTCTCCCAATATAAGATTAGTCCTAGCTAAGTTAAGAGGCTGTCATATGTGGATCAACTTACTTTTTGTGTGTTTTCAACAGTTTCAAAATGAAAAACAACTTTTATATTGATTAAATAAATGTATTGCAGTCAGGGAGAAAAAAAGGGTCATGGATTTATTGCATTTTTGGAAAAATATAATTTGATTTTACAATAAATCTCTGAAAATCTAAATCTGGATTTCACGTTTAAATCTAATTATAAGCTGAAGATGGTATGTGAAAGTTTGAAAAAGCTTAACTAAAAAGCTTTTTTTTTTATATATATATTTTTTTGCCAATTTCTCAATAAAAAAAAAAACACATAGGCTGTAACACTCACCTGTGTGTAACACCAGCTTTCGGCCACAGGGCCGCTGGTCATTTCTGCAGGAGGGGGAGGACTCGGCACCCTGGACATCGCCAGTTTTGAGCGTTTGATTTTTGGGTTAAGGGGAGGGTCACTTCGCCAACCACCACAGGATGTCTCCAAGAAAGTGTCCAGATGTAATCACTTGCTCATAAGCAAACACACGCACACATGTGTATTTCACAGCCGCCGCCAGGATCCGGGCACACACTCGTGTTCAGCGTAACCCAGAGAACAAGGAGGGAAAGCAGGGAGAAACCTGAGGTGTTTTTCAGTGAGCCGTCCAGTTCTTCAGCATTAACACCTGCAGCAGAGCAGACAGAGAGCAAAAACAGATTAAGAATTTTCATTTGTGTCAATGAGCTTAAAGCTTTGAACTGAAATGATGCAGAGCTGATAATAAGATTATGAAGGAAATCAAATATATTAGAACAGTGGTAGTGGTAGCAATAAATTAAATCAAATTACATAAATTACTTCGATCACAGGAATTAAAGCAATATATTATTAGTAGTAGTAGTTCTAGTAGTAGTAGCATTAGTGGTAGTAGTACTATAGTAGCAGTAATTTAGTCATGTAGGGTTATGTTATAGCTGGGGATTTTTTAGTTCGTTTGTTTTGTGTTCACACAAATATAGTGGGTGTTGTTTTAAGTGAGTTTAAGCATTTTTGTGTAAATTAAACCCTTTTCACAAAAAAGGAAAAAGGTTTGTATTTTGCAATTCTATAAAAATACTCAAAAATGCTTCTGTCAATGTTTTCAAACTATTATATTTGATTTCTCAAATTGTCCTTGATCCCACATCTCTGTGGTTAGTTGTTTTGGAGAATATAAACAGATGTTATGACAATGTTACCATATACTTTCTATGTAAAGTTAAGTTTTTACTGCAAGTGTAACTTCCATAACGCTGGAATTGCTCTACAGATATGGTATATTACTTATAAGTCTTGACATTATAAATGTTGCTGTTATTGATGAAAAACAATATATTATCAATTTCTCTATTTCTTGTTTGAATGCTTCTGTTAAGCAATGGTTTACTTAAGCTAAGTTTTTCTTTTGACATTTTCTTTTTAATTAATTATTAAAAATACAAATCGGTATTGATATTTGTTGATGCACAACTTGCATGATACGAATATGGGAGTGACGCTCACATGTCCAGCCACACCTAGTTGAAAACATCTACGTTTTTAAGAATGCCTCGAGCGCACTGCGATTCATGCAAGTAGAAATAAAGTAGTGCAAGACCCATTGTAAATGGTCAGACACCACCAGCACGCATTTGTCACTTTAGGTCAGAATGACAACCCAAGCGAAAATGAGTGCTGTGTAACAGCAGTGAGGAGATTGTAAATAAAAAAAACGATATCACCAGAGTGGCTTTTTGGTTTCTTTTCTTGTGCATCCCAGCCACTAACTAACCATCTGAAAGATTTTTTTAGCATAGGTGGGTAATATAGTCATTCAACTTCACAATTTGTGATGTTGCAGTATGCATTTCAATAATGATGTCTGGTTCCTTGACTTAAAAGTTCAGATTTGATTATCATAATTTGTTTTGTTTACAGAGTTTGAGGTTTACTGTATTATTATTATTGACACCTTACAGACGTAGATCTACCTTTACCATTGCACACACTTTGTAACATTTTATTTAATAAAGTTTAAGAGTCTCTTTAACACTTTTGTTTATTTCACTATGAAAAGATGGGATAATTTTTTTAAATATTTTTGTTTTTGACTTAAAATTATTTGCCTTAAAAAAATATATAATTATTGATATCAAATGATATGCAACATAATATTGTTATCATTTTTTGCAATATCACCCAGCCCTACAATGAACCATATCATGGATACTAATATAGTGATAATTTATTTAAAAAAAATAAAACAAATATGCATATTCTGGATATCTGCTACACCAACATCGTTTCTATATAAATAATAATAATAAATAAAAAATTCTACACAACTTTACAGCAATGGTTCCCACTCATGACATAGATCTTTAAAAATTCTGGCTCTTCTTTTTTTATAATAGTATTTGTTCAGAATGCAGCGCTGCAAAGATTAATGGGGCTAAAACACATACTAAGAATTTTGTGGAGTATTAATATAATTTTTCTAAATGAAAGATGTACCACTATGTGTAATAACTTGCTGCCATTAGGTAACTGCATGGTGTGTTTGTTTGAAATACTCTTAAGTTTATTACCTGTTTATATTTCTCTTTAAATAGCTGTACTTTGCTTTGTTTTGATCTTTGCTATGTTACCATATATAAATAAAAAAGACAAAAATTACAAAAAAAAGTCATTATTCGAGTATAGAAACAAATTGTATAACTAATTCCCTATTAAACTCCACCATTTAGGCGAACATGTCAAACAAATATGTATCCACAAACCACAAAACTATGCAGAACTTCTGTGCCATTCAATCACCATTTACTTGCTTTACTACACAACATTTGCCACTGTAGGGGTAAAAGCCAGTCCTCTGAAGACTCAGAAGCACCATCATCAAGTTTAAATCCGTCAAAGCTACACGTTTATAATGCTGGAGGAAAAAAACAATTTCTTCTTTTCCCCTTGTGTGAAACAGCCCTCCCTCTGTTCTCCTGAAGAAAAGCACATTCATCATTCCATTGGCTCTCTTGTTCATTTCCCCTCAAACCTCTGAACCCTTAAACCTTTCCAGCCTTTTTTTCTTCCTTCAGCTCAAAATAAAATAAATAAATAAATACAACAGATCCGCAGCACTAATCCTTATTTTGCTCTCGCTCCTGCTAATTAAGGCACTTTAATCGTTAGCTAGATACACCCTAGCCATTAATGGACTGACCAGAAAACACCAAACTGGCCGCATGTCTAACAGTACAGCGAGTCGTTAATAAGGCTAATTAATGGATGTAAAAACAGTCCGATGGAAGCTCGTGACTGATAACCAATTAAAAGCAGAAAAGAACATTTGGCGCTCCACGCATGACATTCATAAATGTTTAAAGAACAGGGTAAAAGACCCTCACGGTCATGAGCAGGGAAGAATAGTCTTTTAAAAGACATCATTTTAGGTAACTTTTTAATTTACTTCACAGAATGGCCCGATTTTCTGCGGTCAGATCAAAAAGTTATGAAGAGTTGAACATTTACTAGACACACAGAATCGGGGACCTTTGATTTCTACCAAACTTTAAACAAAGAAAGAAAGAAAAAAACACAAGTATTATCTTCTCTTTTTCTCAATCTGAAGCGACCCCGTCACCCTTTCATCTCTCATTTCTCTCTCCATTTTTTACAGTCCTGCACTCCTTCCTCCCTTTCTCACTCAACCTGCACGTCCCTACGTCTGCGAGCGAGGGAGACAGAGAGTCTTCTTTCCCTTAATTAGCATCTGATTGAAAGGATAGATCACGGCCCGGTGGAACCTTCCGGAAACTTGTGCGGCGATTTGAGACAGTGTGAGAGGAAGAGTACATGGTGGAGGAACAAAAATGAACAAAGTGCAAAACAAAGTGTTTTGTGGGGAGGAAAGAAGCAAAGAAAGTATTGGGAGACTGAAAAGGTCATTTCAAAACTTTGTAAAAGTACAGCACAACTCGCAAATTTTCCAATGTATACATCAAGGTTGGGTGTTAAAGCCTACGTTTATGCATCAGTGTCTACTAAAAACTGAACATTTCTCTCATTGTTTTTTTTTTAAGGTTTTATACCAATTACAACCGCTCTGTTATAAATATGACAACCCAAACCAGGAGACTTATAACAAGAAGAATTCTTTATTGAAAGGTGTTGGTTGTTGTGCAGTTAAACAGCATCTTCATGAAGTCCAAGAGTCTACCAGAGTCATCAGGAGTCACTTATGTAGAGTTCAGACTAGAGGTCTGTATTCTCACAGCTGGAACAACAGTAACTCCAGTAGAAAAAAATATCCAAATACGTCGTTTTAAACTGTAAAGAAATCTGTGTTTTTAAAACTAATGAAGACAGCAGAAGTCAATGATTCATTTTCATTATTCAGCTTGACGTGTTTACTGTTCAAAATAATATAAATGTTTCTTAAACATAAAATATATCGTGTTCAAAGGGGAAAAAGTTTTTGTTTTTTTAGGGTATCTGCAGGGTCTTAAAAAGTCTTAATTTTCAAAAACTAAATTTAAGCTCTTAAAAAGTATTACATTTACTGAAATATGCTGTTGTTAAATACTTTTAAACAGGTCTTAATTTTCCACGTAAAGCTATGGCCAACCGATACAACCAACAAATCCATCTAAAAAAATGTTTAACAAAATTAACATTTATTAACTATTTAGCAATATGGTTAAATTGTCTTCCTTACATCCTTACACCAACATTTGTTTAAAAGGTCTTCGTTTTTGCATAAATTTATGTTGTGCATAAACTTTGTTTATTATAGCTTTTAAAACATGTCTTTTTTAAAAGAAAGGTTATGCTAATAAAATATGTATGTATATAACAAGAGTTAGCTTGTTTTGACACATTTTTTAAAATGTGTGACTAAGAAATATCTGAATTTTTATTTAAATGGGGCAAGTGAAAAAAAAAATACAGTGGTTATTACTGAAAATTATTAGCGTTTTACCATGTGACAGTCTGAAATTTCATATATAATAGTCTTAAAAAGTCTTAAATTTGACATGATGAAACCTGCAGACGCCCTGTTTTTATCTAGACATTTAAAAAGAATATATTTCAGAGCAGTAATCACAATACCATCAAACAGTGATATTTTCATCCAAGGTTATCATCCCGTCAGTATCTTATACCGGCCCATGCCTAATGACTAGTTCTTGCTTCTTCTTTTTCTTCTTCTTTTTTTTTTTTCACTATTGGGAAACCCATATCATGCAGGTCTGATGTATGAGAGTCTTTTTCATGCATCAGAGACGCAAATGGAATAAAATTACCCTTTGAGCGATAATACCTCAAAGTTTTACCCTTTAGCAGTCATAAGATATGAACCTCAGGTTTAAGGTGGCACTCATGTCTCATCACAAAGGGGCAAACAAAACTGATGTTTAGCCTAAATGACAGTGGCAGACAGAAACCAACATTGACAATCCTTGCACAACCAACAGTTTTATCTGTCATCTCTCTCTTTTGGTAGTACCCAATTTAAACGTGAGATTTTTGAAACTAAATTTAAATTTAGCAGGAACAGTCAGGTAGAAAATTATTCTAAGCGAGCAGTGGGTGAACAAAGACTGAATAAGGCAGGAGCAGTCAGATGCTAAAAACCTTGCGGGATCTAGACAAAAAATTTGTCCCGTGCAG